AAAGAAAATTTAGAATTACAGTCAAGTCCTGACTGGAAAATTCTGTGAGGCTTGATCATCTCAGCTAGCAGTCTTGAAACTTCTAGATGTAGAACTCAGGAAACTCCAACAGAAGTCCTCTGAAGCATTGGATCATCTGGACTATCTGCTTCTATTAGAGAGTCTTTAGGAGGTCTTCCTTGATCGAAACTGATTTTTCTTAGCCCAAAATGAATCCACAGCTTCTCATTTCCTGTGGAAACAAAAGTAAAACCTTTTCTCCAAAGTAACATACCTTTTGACTTAAATTTTGAAGTCAAGGCATTTTCCAAATATATATGTTGGATTAACCCAGAAGCATTTATAATCACATCTTTTAGCAGCTGTTGTTCCTTCCTCAGCAGTCATACAATTCAAAGACAATACAGTAATATGCACTATCTAGACTCTTTGTGTATTTTCCATCTTTACCTGGCTTTATTTTAACCTCTATTTATTTTATTTTTATTTTTAATTTTTGGCTTTTTGAGACAGGGTTTCACTGTGTATCTTTGGCTGTCCTGGCACTCATTCTGTAGACCAGGTTGTTCTTGAACTCACAGAGATCCGCCTGCCTCTGCCTCCCATGTGTTGGGATTAAAAGTGTGTGCCACCACACCCAGCTACTCTCTTTTTTATTTTCAGGGCTTTATCTTTTTCTTTTCTCTCCCAAACCTACATATATTTTTAAATACACTCTAAACTGTTTTGAGGGTTTTTTTTTTTTGTCTTTGAATCTATCTTTACTGTATCTCTCTTTCTGACCACATAGTTTTTAATTTGCTAAGCAGTATGGCTAGGACTAAAGCCCTGATTTTGATGGCTGGATCCAGCCCATTCCTTAGCATTTTGAGAATCTAGCTTCATGGTGGAGGTACAGGCCAGAGCCATGTTTATTGCCACAACTTTATGGTGTTTCAAGGTCTGTGCTGCCACCAAAAAGCATGCTGTAGGCTATTCATAAACATCATTTAAGTGTTTTGTGGCAGAGCCTCTTAAAAAGGCTACAAAGTTTTTGCAGCTAAAGCTGTGTCAGGAAACCTCTCTAACAAACAGAGCCCACCCGAGAAAGAGCTTCTATCATGCTTAACTCTATTCTTTTCTGTCTAGAATGACTTCCCAAGTTCTCTCAGATTTTCTGTGGATGAGTTGTCCACATGTTGTGCAACATTTGTTGACTGAGTTTCTGTCCCATCTGATTCTGTCTGGTCAGGCAGCCCTTCAGTCACAGGGAAATACACAGAGGTCTGTATTAATTATAAACTGATTGGCCTTTTAGCTCAGACTTTTTATTAACTCTTATAACTTATATTAGCCCATAATACTTGTCTGTATTAACCATGTGGCTTGGTACCTTTTTCGGTGGGGCAGTCACATCTTGCTCTATGTCTGGCTTCCTCTGTGTCTGGGTCATTACTGCAGACTGAATCTTTCCTCTTCCCAGAATTCTCATCGCCTCGCCTTTACTTCCTGCCTGGTTGCCCCGCCTATACTTCCTACCTGGCTACTGACCAATCAGCATTTATTTAAAATACAAGTGACAAGGTACAGACTGCTATCCCACAACATCATTAATAATACCATGTTAATCAATTAGATAATTACTTATCAGCTATTTTTGTAATTAGTATAGTTAATAGTTATAGTAATTCTAGATATATATTTCTTTCCTTTTTTTGAAGGTTCATATTTTCTTCCATGTGATTATAGAGCTCATATTTAAGAAGTGGTAGTTTCATATAAAAGAAATTTTATAAAAAAGGAAATTTAGACTAGGGAGATGGCTCAGCATGTAAAGTGTTTGCTTGCACAAGCAAAATTCAGGTCCTCAGCATCCATGTAAAAGCCAGGCTTTGTGGTGTGAGTTTCTAATCTTTTGGGTGGGTGCAGGGTGTGGGGAGACCTAGATGGAGGCAGGAGGATGCCGGAAGTGGTAAGTGATTCACTGACCACTGAAGCAGTAGCTTCAGGCCGGGTTCAAGCATCCTGAAGAGTGATACCTATACTCAGGCCAGCACACCTGCACACACTCTGCTCATAAGCACACTCAAAGAGAAGTTAGGGTAAAACACCTGTGGTTCAAGTCATGAAACATCAAAGTTGTTATACAATCATTTTCTCTTTTATTTTTTCTTTTTCTTTTTTTTTAAAACTGTCCCTTTTCATTATACACACCAATCCAAGCTCCCACTCCCTCCCCTCCTCCCATTCCCTTTATCTAACACCCCTCAACCCTCCCCCATCCACTCCACAGAGAGGGTAAGGCATATTGCTTTGAGGAAAGTCAAAGGCCCTCCCTACTATATCCAGGCCGAATAAGACACCCATCCAAAGAGAATGGGTTCCCAAAAAGCCAGTACAAGCAGCAGGGACAAATCCTGGTGCCACTGCCATTGGCCCCCAGTCTGCCCCAGCCATAAACTGTCAACCACATTCAGAGGGAGTAGTTTGGTCCTATGCTTGTTACTTCCCAGTCCAACTGGAGCTAGTGAGCTCCCATTATCTCAGGTTTTCATATGCATTTCATATGCGTTTCAGTGGGTGAACGCATCATGGTCATGACCTCTTCGCTCATATTCTCACTCATCCCACTCTTCACTTGGACTTTGGGAGCTCAGTCCAGTGCTCCAGTGCAGGTCTCTGTGTTTCAGTCAGTTGGTGGATGAAGGTTCTATGGTGACATTTAAGATATTCATCAGTCTGACTACAAGGCAAGGCAAGTTTGCCCCCGCCCTCCTCCTTCATTGGTTAGGGTCTTAGCTGGGGTCATCCTTGTGGATTCCTGGGAATTTCCATCTAGCTAAGTTTCCTGCTAGCCCCATCATGTCTTCCTCAATCAAGATATGTCTTTCGTTGCTCTCATCTCTTTCCTTCCTCCGTCTCGACCATCCTGTTCCCTCATGTTCTCCTCGCCCCTCCTCCCTCCCCTCCTTTTCCCTCTCCTCCCTCCCTTATCCCCCCTACCCTATGCTCCCAATTTTGTCAGATGATCTTGTCTATTTCAACTTTCCAGGTGGATCTATATATGTTTTGCTTAGAGTTCATCTTATTACTTAGCTTCCTTAGGATCATGAACTATATATAGGCTCAGTATCCTTTGTGTATAGCTGGTACCCACTTATGAGTAAGTATGTTCTATGTTTATCTTTCTGGGTCTGAGTTAACTCACTCAGGATGTTTTTTTTCTAATTCCATTCATTTGCATGCAAAATTCAAGATGTCATTGTTTTTTTACTGCTAAGTAGTACTCTGATGTGTAAATGTGCCACAGTTTGTTTTACCATTCTTCAGTTGAGGGGCATCTAGGTTGTTTCCAGATTCTGGCTATTACAAATAATGCTGCTATGAACATAGTTGAACAGATGTCTTTGTATTATGAATCACTTAGCATTGAAGTAATAAGTTCAGGCAAGCTTCAGACATCCTGAAGGATGGTACCTACACTCAGACAAGTACATCTGCACACACTACTCACAAGTACACTCAAAGAGAAATTAAGTATAATGGAATACACCTTTAGTTCAAGTCGTGAAACACAGCAGAGTTGTTGTACAGTCTTTTTCATGATTTGATTATGGCTATGAGTATAGTGTTACTAAAATCCAAGCTAGATATAATTGTCGATGGTTGAAGCCTGAAGGCTGTTTTGTCTCTATTAAGGAGAGGTGTAGATGATTTTCTTTTCATAATTATTATACTGTGGTACTGTTTTATAATTATAATTTTGTCATAAGTATTGTCATTAGTTGTTTGAATCAGTATTTTTAATAAGGGTTCAATGTTGTTCAAATCTAAGTTAGATATAATTGTTGATGGTTGAAGCCTGTTTTGTCTTTATTAAGGAGAGGTGTAGATGATTTTTTTTCATAATAATTATATGTGATACTGTTTTATAGTCATAACTTTTCATAAGTATTGTCATTAGTCGTTTGAATCAGTATTTTTAATAGGGGATCAACATTGTTCACCCATCATTGAGTTATATACGGGATGATAATTCTGGCTAGATGTTGGTATTTTATGTGTGTCCTGGCCCAGTGGTAACACATTGTATAATATTAAAGAAGACTTTTACCTTTTCTATTTTTTTTTCTGCCATGGTAACTGGAAGTGTTTGCTGTTCTTTTATCCCTAAATGTTTTCTACTCATCCATTTTTCTTATAACTTTCATCAGTGTTCAAAATTTTAATGATTGCTTTGTACTTATTTTAATTTTCTTATAACTTTCATCAGTGTTCAACATTTTAATGATTGCTGTGTACTTCTTTTAATTTTCTTATAACTTTCATCAGTGTTCAACATTTTAATGATTGCTGTGTACTTGTTTTAATTTTTGTTGGGTACTTTTTAAAAAAGACATCTTAAGTATTACTGACTTTTAATTTATAGCAAGAGCTACCCAGGTTTAAACATCTCTTTAAAATAAGAAAGGTATTCTGGTGTGGATGGTAAGTAAATTATATGAATGCGTGGCACTAGTTTATAGGACTCCTGAGAGTGATATGCAAATGACTGAGGACAAGAAAGCATCATTCTCTGAAATTTAAGTTATTTCTGTTCTTTCCTTTATAGATAAGGCTACAAAACATGGTCAGAACTAAATCTTTTGGCACAAGCTAATTATCTTTAGTGTAAAGTTAAAGTCCCAGAAAACCCATGAAGGTTGCACTTGACCTCCGTGTGTGTGTGTCGTGCTTTCTGATAGGTTGAAATCCACAGATCCTCTGAGTGCCTCACTTTCTATTTTCTGACTCTGAGCTGATTTTTTTTTTCAGACATTTTCATTTCTTATTCCTGATTCAGAAACATCCAGTTTCTTTGCCATGTTATAGTAACTACTCTATTAAGAACAGGACAAGTATCTTTTGTTTTGTTACTTGTTTTTAGTGATGGTGTGAGTTTAATAAGATGACTCAGAGTTTTAATAATGATAAAGAAAAATCTTAGATGATAATGCTGCTTTCTTTTTTCCCCCCTATAGCTTGCTGAGTATAGAGAAAGACAAGCCCGACGAGAAGGGAAAAAGAAGAAAAGTGTATCAAAGTGTAAACAAGATGTACACAGCTTAAATATTAATCAACAAAATAATGAGACCTCCATAAATAGCTCTCAGTGTGTAGAATCAGCTGGGAATCCTGATTCCACCAAAATGAGAGCTGGACAAATAGAAACGCAAAATGAAGTCTTTGTTAAAGTGAGTGCCTCCAGATTTTTAGCATAGTTCTGAGTGGACCTTAGTGTAATAAGAGTGGGCATCAGCACACTCTACAGTGGAATTATGACTTTTGTCCCTTCTTGCAAATTTGAGCAATATTTTAGTAGCTAGACCTAAAGTATTTAATGACCTCTGAGTGAGCTTTGTGAGCTTCATTCAACAAATATTTATTGAGCACTCACAATGCAAAGCTGAGGAAGGCAGATATAAAGAATGTCGGTGTAAACTATCAGACCCATGCCAGAGCAGTGTACCTGCTTCTCTAGAGTACAGGGGATCCACAGTCAGCCTTGTGTGTGTAACTTGGGTAGCTTTGGAAGGGGTAATGTAGAAAGTGTGAATGGGAGTTAGCTAGAGGTTAAAAAAAAGTCAAGGAAGCAAGCTCTTCACCGAAAGAAAAGCATTTACAAAGATAAAAGAGAGTGAAGCAGTGTGTTGTGAGATCTGGAAACAGGAGCTTCAATTTTATATGAATCCCAAAGTGATGGGGTAGGATGGTGCTAATTTCTGAGTTTGGAAATTGTACTCAGCCCAATTCCCATTGAAAGTACCCAATGAGTCCTAATTTCCCAAGCCCCCGCCCCCTTGTTTAATGGGCAACTTTCTGAAATGGAAGTTTTAATGGATCAAGATGGTTGATAAATGGTTGACTCACTAACCAAGACCAGAGAGAGAGGGATTGGGTTCCTCGTGAGAGTATTGGGAGGATGGATATTATTTGAATTTTGTGGTAAAGCCTATTTATGTTGAAATAAAATTAGAATAGATAAGGATTGTATAGGGTTTCTGTTGCTGTTACGAAATACCATAGCCCAAAAGTAAGTTGGGGAGGAAAGGTTTATTTGATTTAAATTTTCACATTTCTTTTCATCACTGAAGGATTTCAGGACAGAAACCCAAATAGTACAGGAGCTGATGCAGAGGCCATGGAGGAGTGCTGCTTGCTGGCTTACTTCCCCATGACCGCTCAGCATACTTTCGTTATAGAACCCAGGACCAGCAGCCCAGGGAGGGCACCACCCACCATGAACTGGGCCCTCCCCATTGATCACTAAATGAGAAAATGCCTACCAGCTAGACCTCATGGAGGCCTTTTCTCTGATGATGCTAGCTTGTGTCAGATTGACACACAACCAGGGCTTTTAAGCTTTGGTCGCTACCCAGATGTGCAATGGAGACATGTTATATTCCCCATAAAATCCAGTCACCATGTATGTCTTTTGGAAGTATGGGAATATGGCTTCAGAAGGAGAGTGAGGAGATGAGGTTGGTAGCACATATCAGAAACTTAAGCAGGTGGGAGACTGAAGTGGGGTGGCCTTGTTTCATTTCTATTATTGTAATAAATAGCCAATAAAAGCAACTTGCAGGGGGCAGAGTTCATTTGACTTATTCCAGGTTCTAGTCCACCATTGCAGTGAAGTCAAACTCAAGGTAGCTAGCTAATCCTATTGCATCTAACAACCCAGAGAGAAAAATGCATGCATGCCTAGTTTCAGCTCTCTTTCTCTACTCTCAAACAGTCTAGGATGAAAGCCCAAGGAAAAGCATGAATTCTAATTGTTCTTATTAATAAAAACTCGGAGTCAGTTATGGGGTGAAAACTGAAGAATCAGAGAAGCAGAGTAGCTAACCACTAGAGTTCTTTACTCTACCAATGCTCAGACCAAAAGGGTGATCAAACTTCCTCCTCAGACTGCAATGAGCTCCTGATGGACACACAACCACAGTCCAGGCAGGGCAGTCTCCTGCCACCATGTATCCCTCTCTGCTCCCAGCCATATCACTCCTGCTTCCACCACCTTAGTGCTGGCATTAAAGGCGTGGGATCACCTTTGTATGAGCTCTGTTTCTCTTTTAGACTGGATCAATTTTGTGTACCCAGGGTGGCCTTGAACTAACAGAGGTCTGTCTGCCTGAGATTAAAGTAGAATTGTGTGCCACAGTTGTCTGGCTTCTAGTGGCTTAGTTCTGCACTCTGTTCTTCAGGTAAACTTTATTTGTTAAAACACAAACAAAATATCACCACACTTGTTAAATAGACTTTTTATGTGTATTTATGATTCAAGACTTCTAATTTATTATATATTATTGAATCATTGTTGAATTGTGGTTAATGTGTGTATTGAATAAGAGCTTGAAACAGGAACATACACGCATACACACTAGAAATCATGCCTGAGCAAAACTTAACTAACACACCTTTCCTCCATAAGGCACGCCACAACATTGCTGTTCTGAGAAACACTAGATAGCACTTAAACTTCATACTTGAGGTCATTTTTTAAGCAGTAAAATCAGTAATTAAAAAGTGCCAAAATGTACCACTATGAGCCCTGGAAGGGTCCCAACTTTACATTGTGACAACAGGAGCAACTGTCGCCCTGTTCTGTGTCATCCAGTGTTGTCTACCTTGGGTCACTCTAAATTTTCCCTGGTCTGCTCATGTCCTCAAATGACCTCATAGATGTTACGAGTATTGATTTGGGGGCTAGCAAATAAATTTTATTAAGGAAGTGACTTCATGAAAGCAAGAGTCTGAAAAATGAAAATCAACTATATTCTTAGATATATAATCTCTAAATATTATCTCTTTTTTTAAAAATCTTGATAGTATTCTTTGATGTCCAAAATTTTTAATTTTCAAAAAGAAATGGTGAGGGTTCAGTGAGATGGTTCAGTGAATAGAGTTACTTGCTGGCTGGACATAATGGTGCACACCTCTAATCCCAGCATTAGAGAGGCAGAAGCAAGAGGATCTCTGATTTCTAGGCCAACCTGGCCTATAAAGCAAGTTCTAGGACAGTCAGAGGTACATAGTAAGATCCTGTCTCGGGAAAAACAAGCAAACCAAAACAAAAGAATAAATGAAAACAACTTGCTGCCAGATCTTATGACCTGCATTCCATTCCCAGGACCCACATGGTGAAAGGAGAGAACCAGCTCCTGAAAGTTGTCATATGCCTTCCATGCCTGTGCTGCACACATACTTCAAATCAATTGATGTAATACAGGTTTGTTTTTAAAGTGTTGTTCCCACTGTATTGTTTAGTGGGAAGATTCAGTCCCCAGTTCCTGGAGTATTTGCTTAACTTGTGTACCAAGTTGTATATTTAGGGCTTTCTGGAGATGTACTTTATCATTTAGAGGAGGTTCCTTTCTACTCTTAATTCATTGAGTGTTTTTATGTAATTATTTGTGAGTGCTCAGCAGATACTCTACCATGGATGTCCATCCCCAGCCCTTGTGATTGTTCAACAGACACTCCACCGTGGAGGTTCATCCCCAGCCCACAATTAATATTTTGTCTTGAAGGGCTGCTAAATTCTGTGGTTTGTCCTCTGTCTCTTGAGATGACATTAATTTAAAGGGCTGTTAGATATGGGTGTAAGCTGATAGGAAAGTCAAACTCAGGCCCTTTGGTAGCCTAACGTTTTCCTCAGTGACCTCTTATAGCCTTGCTGGCTTTCAGGATGGGTGGGAATGGTGTAGCTTGAGTTTCCTGGTTCTTCCGTGTTCTGTGGTTGCTCCCCCTCCCATGTTGTTTTACGCAGAGGTTTTGCTGCTGTTAGATTACTTCAGCATTATTTTTGTTGGTTATTTGAGGCACAGCATTTCATAATACCCAATTTAAATTTGTGTTGGCTAAATCCATAATTTGTGATCTTCAAAATGTTTCTCCGTTGACCAATGTTTTTCTTGTGAACAGTCCATACTCTCCCATTCCGTTGTGTGCCTTGTTATTTTTTTTAACTAAACATTTTAAATAATGAGGCAACTTTGGCATTGGTTTTAGTTTCAAGATATATTTTTTAACATTATAGCATATTGATATTTGGATTCCTTACTGTAGTTTATCGTTTTGAATGCAACAGCTTTTGTTAATCTTTTTTTTTTTTTTGATACAAGATCTCTCTATGTGGTCCTAGACAGCCTCACAGAGACCTCTGCCTCCCTAGTGCTGGGATTAAAGGTGTATACCACCTCCCTGGGCTAATCATTCTGTTTATTATTTTTTGGGGGAAGGGGTTAGTTATTTTTGAGACAGAGTTTCTCTATGTGGCCATGACTCCCTCTGTATACCGTGCTGGCCTTGAGCTCACCGAGATTCACCTGTCTCTTCCAAATTCTAAGATTAAAGGTTTGTGCCACTATCATCCAACTAGTCTGTTTATTCTTGATACCGGTTTTTAATGTGCAGTGTGTACTTAATCATCATATGGAGGGATTGCGTCATGGATATCTTTAGATTTAGAAGAGAACATCATGGCTGGGACGAGCTCAGTCCCTAGAACTCCCATTAAAATGCTGAGAATTTTAATGTCGCTTACACTTGTAATCCCAGTATTAGGGAGGCATGGAAGGATTCCTGGGGCTCAGTGGTTACCTAGTTTCTCCTAATCAGTGAATTCAGGTCAGTGAGAGACCTTGTCTCAAAGCAAATCAGCTGCCATCCCAAGGATGACACCAAAAGTAGCCCTCTGGCCTCTACATGTGTGCACAAATGCACACACACACACACATAAATAAATAAATAAATAAATAAATAAGCAGAACCTCAGGAGTTAGGACTCATTGTTACAAGATTTTAGAGTAGAGACAAGCTTATTTCTTTTCCTGCCAGCAGTTGCTACTTCTTGGGAAGGCCATTGCAGAACTTGACCTTAAATGTCAAATAATATTTCTGTAGGAGTAGATGAGGAATTAGTGATAGTCAATATTTATAAACTCTAAATTCATGCTAGAGAGGTGTGTGTGTGTGTGTGTGTGTGTGTGTGTGTGTGTGTGTTGGACAGTAAAACAACACTTTGGGAATTAGAAAAATTAAGATTTATTTCTTTATTCTATTCCCTCCTTCACACTTGAGAGAAGCTTTGAATGTCACTGAACTCAAATTCTGGGTTAAAGCAAAAATGCTTCATTTTTATTTTATTATTTTATATATATGGATATTTTGGCTATAGGGATTTATGCTTGCTTCCCATACAATGCAGTGCCCATGGAGGCCAAAAGAGAGTACTAGATCCCTTGGAACTGGAGTTTCAGCTAGCTGCTTGTGGACCGCTTGGCAAGAGCAGCAAATGCTCTTACCTGCTGAGCCATTTCTGTAGCCTCCTGTAAATGGTTTTAAGTGAATGCTTTTTAAGCTGTAAAAGCATTATATCAACAAAGGGTGTTATTTCTCTTCAAATAATTACTTTTAGCATGAAGATCTGGTAATACTTTTGAAGAAATGACACTCCTGATAATATCATTTAGGACTCTTTTATTTAGAAGTTATAAAGTTTGGAGAAATTATACTTTGATACTTTTGGCTTACAAAGGGTAGGTACTGTATATAAGAGCATGTCCTCTTGTTTTTTTAAATATGGAGAAAAGTTTACTGCTTAGACAGTAATTCATAGGTGAGATTTTAAAGATCTGAATACTTTGTACTAGGTTTGGAAGCATATTCCCTGGGTTGTGAGCATTTTATGTAGTAGCTTTCATTATGCTACCAACAGCAGTTGCTTAGTGGAAGTAAAATATGGGGAGAAGGCATAATTGTAAATTGTTTTACTTTTCTTTTAGCCTGAAGGTGAAATTTCTTCCTTAGCCGACAACCATAGTTCTTTAGAGGTAAGATTACCGAGTCATAACATTATATGAATAATGTTACAAGTAAAGATAGTCATTTTATTCACTAAAATTATTACTTGTTGATGCTTTAACCTTTTACATGGTTTTGTTGCATTTCTATAAATACAATAAAATAACAGCATACATGGTTAGGAAGTCACAGAGACGTTCTACTGCTGCCATTTTTAACAATGTTCACTGATATATTAACTATTCCATAGTTTTATCTTTAAATGCATAGCGATTCTGGTCAGTGTCTGGGAGACGTCTAGTCCTGGGTCTCCAGATGGAAGACCACTGGGGACTGACCAGTGTCTGGGAGAGGTCTAGTCCTGGCCTTCTGGGTGGAAGACCACTGGGGACTGGTCTTATTTAGCACATCTATTTTATATATATATATATATATATATATATATATATATATATATATATATA